GTATTTTTATTTGCTCATCCGGCAACCCTACTCTAGTCCCCAGTCCCAGACCTGCCCTCTGTGCCAGGCGGACAGCGCACGGCCACCTTCCTCAGGGCACCACGCAGACATGAACACAGTGACGTGACTGAAGCAGAAGTGACCACGGGGTGCGGCTATTTTTCTAGCCCTTGAGGATGGCGTTGAGCTTCGAGGTGGGGCTGAGAAGGCCCGGTGTGGGGCTGGCTGGGCCACGCTTCCCCCACGCGCAGCTCCCCAGGGGGGAGGGGGGGGTGGCTGAGACAGACTCCTCCAGGAGTGACATCAGGAATCTTTAAAAGGCTGATGCAGAATCTGAAGAACCGGGGACGAGGCTGTCAACGGGAGGGAGGGAGTCTAGGGGAAGTCACAGAGCTCGCTCATAAAAACAAAATGTTTTCAGTCTTTGCTTAAAAATAAAGGAAGGTTACTACAACTGAGATGATTTTTAGGCCCTGGCCAGTGGCTCAGTTGGTTAGAACTGTGGTCGGCAAACTGCGGCTCGTGAGCCACATGCGGCTCTTTGGCCCCTTGAGTGTGGCTCTTCCTAAGCCTTAGGAGTATCCTAATTAAGTTAATAACAATGTACCTACCTACATAGTTTAAGTTTAAAAAATCTGGCTCTCAAAAGAAATTTCAATCGTTGTACTGTTGATATTTGGCTGTTGACTAATGAGTTTGCTGACCACTGGGTTAGAGTATTGACCCAATTCACCAAGCTTGCGGTTTGATCTCCGGTCAGAGCACATGCAAGAATCAACCAGGCAGCCAGGCTGGCGTGGCTCAGTGGTTGAGCATCAACCTAGGAACCAGGAGGTTACAGTTTGATTCCTGGTCAGGGCACATGCCTGGATTGCGCGCTCAATCCCCAGTTGGGGGCGTGCAGGAGGCAGCTGATCCACGATTCTCTCTCATCATTGATGTTTCTATCTTGTTCTTCCTCTCTGAAATCAATATAAAATATATTTTTTTAAAAAAAGACTCAATGGTGGAACAACAATTTGATGTTTCTCTCTCCCTCTAAGATCAATAAATAAAATAATCTACATTTTTTATAATGCTCCAAAACCATAGAAAATTATATGACCAAAGGAATTTAAATGTCCCCTGGACAATCTTTCTACAATAAATTAGGAAAACTGGCTGTGGGATTGGTCTAAAGGCACCTGGGTACCATCGACAGCTACCCACAAAGATGAAGAGAGAAAGAAGCCCAGGTGAGCAGGGGCTCTCCTTCCTCTGGTTCTGGCGGTCTCCCTGCCACCGCCTCTCCACCCTCGCCTGGAGCTGCCACCCCTTATCTGCCCTCACCTGGAGCTGCCACACACACCCCCCCGCACACCCCCTGCCCTCGCCTGGGGCTGCCACCCCCTCTCTGCCCTCACCTGGAGCTCCCACACCCCCTCTCTGCCCTCGCTTGGGCTGCCACACACACCCCCTGCCCTCGCCTGGGGCTGCCACCCCCTCTCTATCCTCGCCTGGGACTGCCACCCCCTCTCTGCCCTCGCCTGGGGCTGCCACCCCGTCTGCCCTCGTCCAGGGCCTGCGGTGGAGGGTCGCTCCTGAAGCCACCAGGGTCCACCTTGTCCACCTGGACAGCCTAGCTCGGAGCCTCAGGCCTCTGAGAGCTGGAAACGAATTCCCCTCCTCACAGTGACTTCTCCAAAGCAATGACACACCCAGGAAGCGAGGAGGCCCCGGACCGATGTCTACATCCTTTCAGTGACCTTGACATTCTCAGACGAATGGGGAGAAAGACAAAGGAAGGGGCAGGGCTGGGCAGCCCATGCACATTGGGCCCACAGTGGGCCGCAAGTCCCTGGCCGGGCCCTGTCCTGTCCGAGCGCTGCCGCCCGGTTCTCCGTCCTGGTGTCCCCCCACATCTGGCACCGCAGCACGGCCCTCCGCGCTGCCCACTCCTGACGGCTAGTCCCATGTGGACAAGGACACGCTGTCTGCGGTGGTCCCTCCAGACTGACAGCAGGACACCCAGCCCTGGCCTATGGTTTCAGGTTATCGTCCAGGAAACAGCTGACCTGCGTCCCCTCCGTCTCCGAACTGGAGTTCACTGTGCTAAGCTGTGCATGGCTCTGCAAACGTGACCCTTTGCCTTAAAGTGCGTCTCGATTATAACTGAATGGCGTCCCCTGCAAGGACTGAAGCAATCATTAGGATGTGCAAGTTTTAATGCCTGGTTTTTACTGTGATGTCAGCTTTACATAGAAACGAGGAAAACACTCCACCTGCAGCCCTCTCCAGGCAGCCGGAATCTGCTTCCTTTGAAAAGTCCTAGAGAGACGAGTTGCTGGACTTTCTCTGCAGCCCATCTGGGCGTTCAACAGCCCTCGGTGGACGGGCCTCTTCCGTCCAAGATCAATGCCGTGCTCGCTGGGCAGAGGCCCAGCAGGCATTGCCGGGCCCGCGCACCCACCCTCAGGTGAGCAGAGAGAGGGCACGGCCTCCAGAGGCTCTATCGTACAAGCGCATGTGATTTCACAGGGCGGCTCTGCAGGCTGTGCAGCTCCTAATGTGTTTGCTCCCAGTGGAAGTATGGCTTTTCCAGCGGGAAATATAAACAGAGGCCAATCCCAGCGTTTTACGTTAACTGTGCCTTCCCGTCCGGGCCGAGCTGAAGGACAAGCACAGCCCGGGTATTTGCCTCGCCTGGATACAAAACAAAACACTGGCTACGGGCTGATACCCTGAAACAGGACACCACGCTAGGCCTGATATTTGATTATGTCTATTCATGCGTGTATGTGGGGAAAGGTATGCTTTCCTGGTTGGAAGCCACTAGAAAATACTTCCCTACCCCACCCCACCCCCGCCCCCATCTCGTTTGCGTCACACAGGCCTTCGGGTCACGAGATTACTAGGACGCGGGCACTGAGGCAGCTGCCCCCACGCATTGCACCACCTGGGGTCGGAGGCCCTGAGGCCGGTGCCCTGTCCACCCCCTTCCTTCCCCCCTCCAGAGCCTCCTGGTCTCTTTATCAGGGCAAGACCCATTTTCCTGGGGCTCCAAGGACTTTTTACAGCTAACCATCAGGCTTCCTGTGCACCCAAGGGGGCTTTTTGGTTGTATCCTTGTCTTTAGAAATGAAGAAACAGCAACATGGGCAGGTGGTGAAACCACTGAGGCTGGGGACCCTGAGGGACAGGAACTGGAGTTTGTAGCCGCAACCCTTTACTTAGGAACTCGCGCCCTTCCCTCCCCTCCCCCCCACCCCCCAGTGCCAGCCCATCAAGGCCTGGAGCTCAGAGGGGCCATCAGAGAGGGAGGGGGAGGGGGCACGAGAGGCGGGTGTGTTTGTTCATCATTTCAGCTCACAGATCACAAACTGGTGCCGTCTCATCGGAAACGGCAGAAAACCCCTTCTTGGCTTTAAAGAAACAATTTCTCCAAAATACAATGAGCAAACGGTTCCAACTCCCCCTGAAATTTAAGTAAAGGCTGTCGTTGGGAAAAAGGCAATTCTGATGGATGTGATGACATCTCACGAACCCACTCATCTGAGCTGGAGCGACAGTGCCTTGGACCCTAACAGACTGGAGATGAGATGTGCCCCTTGGCCACCGACACGAAGCCCAGGCTGCGGGAGGGGCTGTGCGGTCTGGCTTCGCCACCCTGTTCCCCACCTCGGTTCTGGTTACCGTCCTCCCAACAATGAGCCACGTGCTCTTCAAAGCCCAACCAAAGCCACCCCCAACCTTGCGAGGAAGGAAAGAGCACAAGTTCATCCCTGCTCAGCAGGAAGCCAGCGGTGGCTCTACCTTCCCTGGGCCCACGGGGACACACAGGGACCTTCCTTCATGCCACTGTTGCTCAATGAGCTGGGAGCGGGGCAAGGACCCAGGGGCAAACCAGAGCTTGGCCTGGGGGGGCGTGAGCTGGTGTGCATGCGGGCCTCGGCCTGTCCAGGGCCCCCCCTCCCAACCTCCATCACAGGGAGAGGACACAGCTGACACCATGGGGACTCCCCTAAGAGGTCTGCCAGGGCTAACCCCATGGGCGTGGGTATCCTAAAGGGAGATTACAGAACTACAATGTCATTTAAATTTACTTTGTTTTCAAACATGTTTCCTATTCCAATTTCTCCCAACAACTCTTTACAGAAAGCCAGGATTCTATTCACCTCAGGAAAACGTGAGTGCATAAAGCGCCTCTGTTGTATCAGCCACAGCTCAGCCTGCAAAAATGAATTCGGTATCCAGGGGTTACAGAACGTGGCTGTTGATAGCCACCTTTTCTTGCCACTCGTTTGCCTTACCTATGCTTATTTAATCCTCCCAGGATAGCATTCCCATTTTGCAGATGAGAAAACTGAGGCTTAGTGAGGTGAAGCAGTGCGCGCGGTTGTGTCCAATTCCAGAGGCCACCTTCCCCGTCAGGTCAGCGCTGCTGTGCACTCAGGTGGAATGGCTCCGCCCCGCATGCGGGTGTAGGTTGGGCAACATGAAACTGCCACCAGCAGCCACTCTGACCCACGAGAATAGCAATAGTAATATGTCTCAACCTAACATCTCCGCCCAGGCTCTCGCCCGGACCTCCCAGGTCGAGTGGGCAGGTCTGTTCCGATATCTTACAGCAACAGCACTTCGCAAGGAGCTCAGGACTGCCACTGGCCAATGGCCACCACCGCCCAGGGAACTGGCCGTGGTATGCATGTTCCCTTGACCTGCGTTTCATTTTGTAACCTAGTCCTGAGACTCATGTTTAGCCTGCTGGCTTATCCAACGTCAGAGACACGCAGGGCCGCATGCTCTACACAGCTGCTTCTCCTGGCCACGGTCACAGGGTTCCGAGTGCACAGGGCGGGCCACGCCCGGTCCGGCCAGGCTGCTGCTAGAGCCTCCAATTCGTCAAAAATGGCCTCAATTCGTCTTCCGTCTGTGAGCACTGGGCCAACTCTGCCACACTCAGTAGGTTCATTTGCTGAAAACTACAGTGTTCCCTCTTCACATGTCAAAGAGAGGCTTAGAGACGTTCAGCTGAAGACCCAAAATGGCCAGGGTTTTCCTCTATACATTTGTTCTGCCTGCAGCCTAAAGAACAGCTACTGCCTATCAAAGATGCAGACCGCTACGATCTGCTCTCCACGATGCCAAGAGGAGGGCACGCGGCCCCTGGGAGCACCTCAGCAGGTGGAGCTCTGAGACCTGGTCGCCCCCCCCCCCCCCCCCCCCCCCAGGGTCCCTCACTGGGCAAGGCCACGGATAGAGGGGGCTTGGCCTAGACTCCCCTGGCAATGTGAAGGGCGAGGGGAGCAGGAAAAGGAAAGTCCGAGAAGTGACAAAGAACCCAGGTGACAGGACAGGGAAGCTGGAGGATGAGGCCTGTGACTCAAAGGACAGGACCGCATATTTCCGAGATGAGCCACCGGCATTCCTTTGGGCCAGGGACCGCGACGCTAAATATAGGCGCTAAGCATGTGCCTTCAGGAAGGGGCTGGAGAGGCGGGAGGGTGGCGGGAGGACCAGCACCTCGGCCAGGGGTTTCCCAGCAAGGTCATCTGCAAGGTCACCTGCAAGGTCCCCATGAAAAGGCAGATACTTGGTTTCCCTTGAGAGTAGCAGCTCCCTCTGCACAGGACGTGGAGGAGATGCGGAACTTTATCAAAGGCTGACTCCCCCGAGTTCATACAGTAAAGGACCCGTTTCTGAATGTGGCAGTGAGACAAGATGCTGGTCAACTGTGGTTGTATATACAAGAATTGTTATAAAATAGCATCATTATTGAAAAATAGCTTTTAAACTATGGTTACTAATGCTCCGTAACACTGTAACAGAAGAAGGCGCATGAAGACATGCCACCCTTAACTGTGGCGGACGTCTCCCAGAATCCCCTGCAGCCTCCCACAGACCCCCTCTCCTTGGGGATGTTGCTGGAAACTGGGTTATTAAGAGCAGGTTTAAGTAATTTTATATACTTACATGTTTTCTTTTTCCACTTCCAACATCCCCTAGACCTAAACGTATCTGGGAATATTGGGGTTTCCTTACATCAGACGTGACTTGACGTGAGGCTAAAAGGCCCGCTCGCCACCTCCACATTCGGGGATGCTCTCAGAGTCCCTCCCACAGCCAAGGAGGTGGTGTGAGGCGTCTGCAACGGAGCCAGACGTGACCGAGGCTGCTCAGTGCCCGAAGACAGCCCAGGACTGTCACCCCAATACAGCTGCTACGCAACAGCTGCCCAGGGACACTGGAGGGGACACACCACTGCCACCCCCAAGGTCACTTATAACGAGAACCCGGAAGTTATGCAACATTTCCTCCCCTCCAGGTCCTCCGACAATGACTCTTCAGAGATAGGACAGCCGTGCTGGAGGCTGCACACGCCCTGCCCTGCGAGCATTGGGGGTGCCGGCCCAGGCTCCGGGGTGGCCGTGGCCGCTGTGGACATGCACAGGTGGGGCCCTCGTGTGGTCCTGTATTTTCTAGAAGCTTTGGGAAGCCACGTTTTCAGACAGTTAAATGGCAGTGGGTCCCGAAAGCCAGTAAATAGATGCTCATAAAACAGGTATAAATACTGAGAATGGAAGAGGGTGCTTTTGTTCAAGGTCAAACTGTAAGTCAGTAGAGAATGGACCCCTGAAACCCTAGCTCCTCCTGTGTGAAATCAGTTCGCCTTTGAGAACAGGAGCCAAGCGGTGTTTTAAAGGATTTCTCTGAGTCACAGTCCCCTCGAGACAGTGTGTAAGAGCCCCCTAACGGCCTGTGGCCACAGGGATCCAGGACGGAGGCCAGCTGGAGCCTCGTGGCCGGTGGCTGAGGTTGCGGAGAGCCAGACGCAGAGGGAAGCTGCTGCTCCTCCCCGCAGGCTGTCAGAGAACCCGCCTCCACGGACAGCACCCCCCCGCTCGGGAAGCACTGAGCGTGTGCACACTCGTTACCTGGCGGGGCCACGCGGTCCTGGTAGGTGGGCTTAAATTCACTGATGGTGAGCAGCAGCACCTGGATGGTCCCGATGAAGATGCCGGCCAGGCAGCCGTAAAAGATCAAGTAGAACAGAAGGATCTTAACTGCAAGGAGAGCAGACAGAACAGATGCTGTGATGCCGTCACGTGCTCAGAACGCCCCTCGAACCTTCCCGGAGGTGCGTGCACACCCTCCTCCCCCGCACCTGTGCCTGCAGGGCTCCTGCTCCAGCCCTGACCAGTGTGACAGGCAGGGGGAGGGGGCAGGGGGAGGACAGCCTCCATTACGGTGTGCCTGTCAGGGGAGGTTGGGGGTAGGAGGAATGTTCAACTAGGACTAAGATTCTTTATAGGAAATAACTGTATTCCCCACATTTTAAAAATGTCCATGAAGGTCGCCCGTGAAACCCAGGGCCCTGTTGGTGTGCTTCTGCCATGCACTGCAAATGGCAGCATCTTCCCGCAGAAGCCTGTGAGCTGTGCTGCTTACCCCCACACTTCAATCTCACAGCCATGCCTTCCTGCTCGTTCAAGCACACACACTGCGACAGCCAGGAGTGCCCAGGGCCCAGGGGGCTCTCCTGCTCGTCACGGCCTCCTTCCTCTGGTACTCGTCACTCGTCACTCACACCCAGGTTTCCCTCTGGGCGCACCAAACCAGAAATAAAGAAAACGCAGCCCCAGCTGGTGTGGTTCAGTGGATAGCGCGTCGGCCTATGGACTGAAGGGACCTGGGTTCGATTCTGGTTAAGGGCACATGTCTGGGTTGTGGGCTTGATCCCCAGTAGGGGGCACGCAGGAGGCAGCCCATCAATGATTCTCATCATTGATGTTTCTATCTCTCTCTCCCCTTCTCCCTTCCTCTCTGAAATCAATAAAAATATATTTTAAAAGAAAATGCACTAGTAAAAATGGCCAGCACATTTGTATTTCATCCTCTGGACCCAGAATAATGACTAATCTGAGCTGCATTTTCTCTTTCCCAGGATAGCAGAGGCTGAGATAGCTGAAAAAGCAAAAATGCAAAAAAACCTGGGGCCCAGAGGCTCACTGAGCTATCAGTTACAGGTTTACAAGGATTACCTCCCGATTAGCTGCACGGTAACAGGCTGTACCAGGCACGGCCTGGCAGCCCCGCACCAGCCAAACAGCTCAATGCGAATGCAAAGTGGGAAGAAGTGAGCCGGGAGGTTCCCCGTCTGCAACATGACTGCAGAGGGGCCTTTGGTGGCGTCTAGAAAAGGCCCAGATCTCATGCATTAGGTGCAGGGTCCTTGGGAAAAAGCTACAGAACAAAAATGTTATTGAAAAGAAGTGGACGAGGGTGGTGAGGGGGACCTGTGTGTGTGTATGGGGGGGAGTATGGGGGGGGGCATTAGCCAGGTCTCCATCCATTTAAAACCCCAGCTTTCCTATCAGCAAGTAATCCTACTAGAGAGTTGTTAAAATAAGCAACCCGTGCCAAAAGAGCACACCCAAGCGATGGATTATAACCCTTTCAGAAGAAGGGGGCGAGGCGGAGACCAGCAAAGGAAAAGGCAAAGGCAGCAGAAGGCAGCTGCCCAGCTCCGTCGCTGCCTCCCGGCCAGCAAGGGTTAAGCGCTGCTCCGTATCCAGGCAGCGCCAGGCAAATGGCAAGGCTGTGACGTCAAGAGATCTGGAAAATTTTTCCAGCGGCTGCTCCTAAGAGGTGCAAGGCTGGTGCGGCACGGTCCGCGAGAACCACGCAGCCGCTGCGTGCTGCCCCCACCTCGGTGGTGCTCCGGCTCAGCCACACTGGCTTCCAACGCCCAGAGCCTTTCTATACCCTCCCTCGGACCCAGATGCCCCACGCCAACCACAGGAGAAGGTGCATAATGGAGGCTGCCATCTACAACACGAAAGCGGGGGGTGGGGGGGACGGGGCGCTGGCCAAGCACACTGGTTACACTTAAGATGCAGCCGATCCGGTTGCCCAACGCATTGGGCCCAGAGGGAAGCCAGGAATTCCCCTCTTGCTCCCAGGTGTCACTTAGCAAAAGGTGTCCAGGTACCGGGGCACGGCCCCTGGGGTAGGGGGGCAATGCAGGTCTGGCGGGGCCTGCACAGGCCTCCAGGGGCTGCTCGGAGAGAGCTGGGCAAATGGTACCAGCCAGCCGGGGCACAGGGGCAGGCTAGAGAGGCATTTTTCTTTAAAGCAGTTTTTCTTCCTTTTAAAAAATACAAGTAATATAAAGGCTGTCCAAAGTGGGGGGGAGTACCCTTCAAAAGGGTCACGGCCAGAAGGAAAACATAACCGCAGTTCCTGTTAGCGCAGTAAGGGGGGCTCAGGTGTAGGCACTAACTTAAACAGGTGGGGCTTTCTGCCCAGGTTTCTGGTGACGGGGAGGCTCCCGCGCCCCCGGGTGACAATCTACCTGCAGGCGCGACTGAGCCAAGGGCGAGTCCCAAGGGCCCCGTGCAGGCCAGTGCTGCAAAGGTGGCCTTTCCCCCGCGGGAGGCCGCCGCCACCGCCGCCTCTGCTGCCTAGGCTCTGACCTTTCCCACACCGCCGGCATGGGCAGACATGTTAGCACAGAGCAGACCCTGGAGCTCTAGCCCAGCACCTGCCCCGGGAAACGAAGGGAAGATGGGCCAGGCACAGGGATCCTGGGTCTGCATCCATCCACTGTGCGGTGTGGACCCGAGACACAAACATTAACACATTCATCCCCTCCCTCTCCCTCTCCCTCTCCCTCTCTCCCCCAACTCTCTCATGGAGGTGCTGCCCCCTTAAATGTCGGCTTAAAGAACAAGCACTTCCATACAGCCTTACCCTCCAAAGCAAATGTTATTCTGCAATTGAAATGAGGAAAAATATATATATTTAATCGGGGGCGGGGGGGCACGAGAGGGCAAATTTCGCAATATTCCCAGAGCCAATGCGGCAGCGGCCCATGCCAAGGCTGGGGACAGCCCCCCAGGGCAGGGAGGTTCCGGGGCCTGGGAGAAGGGGGCCGCTCCGCATGCACCCCCACCCCAGGCCTCCTGCCAGACACCAGGAGTGGCTGGAAGATGGCCCTGGCAGGGAGCTGTTCACGCCACACACCCTGACTCCCAGGTTCCCTCCACATCAGGGAGACGCAGAGGAGCCACGGCAATCCTCCCCCTGCAGAGCAGTCGCCCCCAAATACAAGAAAACATGAAGCACACGCGAGAAGCCATGGCGGTGAAGAGCTACATGGAACACGGCTCCCGGACACCGTGCTCCCCAGGAACACCTTGGGGTGAGGTTTCACCTTGACTAACCTTGAAGGGTGATGCATTATTAACCCTTCACTTTTCAACCAAGAGGGGCCTAGACCACAGGCCGCATTTTCTCTACCTTTACCAAAAAACATAGATTCTGGCTTCTTCCGTTTCAAAATGTCAGCCAAGATCTATTTCCCTGACTCATTCTGCTGATGCCCACAGAGTCTCCCAATGAGGACCCTACGCCGGCCCCTCTTCGGCTCCCTCGGGCTGCAAGGGGGTGCAGGGGTGTCCATGATGGTGGCGGTGATGATACCAGAGGGAGGGGGCAGTGATGCCGCAGGGGGAGTCCCTCCCTCTCTCGCTGCAGTCACGACTCAGATTTGCCTACAACTCTGCCCTTCAAAATGACCTTTAAACACTCACACACACTCACACACACACACACCTATGTCACCCTCCAGGTGTAGGGAGGCAGACGACACATGTGGTATTTAATTTTCAATGGGGGTGGAAACGTATCCAGCTAAGCTACCGGCTGCCCAAAATCTTACACAATGACCTGCTTGTGCCTTTGTGCTATTCCTAGACGAACCCTGCACCATGATCCATCCACTCAGCTACCAATGCCGCATCTGAGTAGACATGGAAATCAACCAGACTGTGCGGTGCTTCAGGGCTGTGGCGGGCTGTGCGGGCTCCGGGGGAGGTCGCGGGGGACTGGGCATCGCGCTGAAATACTGCAGTGGGGACGGTTCCCGCCCGCGCCCGGAGGCACATATTTAGACCAGAAGGTGCTAAAACACGCAGCCTCGCCTGCATGACGCCCGATTGCCCGCATCCTCACACCTCCCTGTTGTTTTTTAGGGACCTGGGACATCACCATTGGGAGAGATCCATCTCGTTGCCCATGCCTGACCATTCCCAGCAGGGAAGGGCTCGATCGATAGACCGCAAATTACCAAAACACGACCGCCACGATCCAGAGAACCCTCCGCCTGGCGCTCGGCCCCCACCCGCGCCCGCG